GCCCAATCCAGCGCCAGCCCACGCACGAACGCACCACTAGCCAGCCCCCGTTTCCAGTCCAGTCCATTCCGAGTTCCCTACCGGAGGACAAGCCAGCCAGCCACGCGCCGCCGCTGCTCAGCTGCTCGCCTGCCCCGCCTCCCCGCCGCCTGCTGCTCCCGCGCCGCGCGCCGCCGCTGCTCTCCCGCTCCGGCCCTTTCAACAGTCACTGACTCTCCCGCTCCGGCCCTTTCAACATCCCACCAGCACAGTCGGCAGCAGCGCGAGCGAGCGAGCGAGTGAGTGCAGAGGGGACTGGGGAGGACAATGTCGCTGGAATCCGACGGCGCCGCCACCGCGAAGAGGCCGCGGCTGCCGGCAGAAGATCCATCCATCCATTTCGGCGCGGCGGTGGAGGCAGCCGACCGCATCTCGGCGCTACCGGAGGCGATGCAGCTGCACATCCTGTCCTTGCTCCCGCTGCCGTCGGCAATCCGCACGGGGGCGCTCTCCCGCGCCTGGCGCGACCTCTGGAAGCGCCGCTGGCAGGACGACGGCAACGCCGGCGCCTTCCTCCACCACCACATCCGCCCCTGCTCCTCCCCGTCGTCAAAGAAACTGCTCGAGTGCCTCGAGCTGCGCCAATCGCAGGGGCGGCGCGGCCGCCTCGACCGCTACTCGCTCGTCGCCGACAACCCCGCCATGGGCGCCCGCCAGTTCGGCCGCTACCTCGACGCCGCCGCCCGCTTCGGCGTCGAGGACCTCCGCGTCGAGCTGCCGGAGAAGCCGCCCTCCCCGGCCACCCCAACAAAGGCCACCACCCTCCGCTTCCCCTTTCCGGCGGCGGCCGGCCCGGACCTCGCGCGCCTCTCGCTCCGCGGCATTGGGGTCTCCGGCCTCCACAGCAGGGCCGCGCGACCGTGCTCCGCCCTCGAGGTCGTCCGCCTCCACTCGGTCCCCGTGGACGACAGGGGTTTGGCGAGGATGCTGGCCCTGTGCCCTCGCCTCCGCGTCCTCGGCCTGCACTCCTGCTCGGCCCTCCGTCGAATCGCCGTGACGGCAGCGACGGGGCGCAAACTGAGGAGCGTCACCATCGCAGGGTGCGGCTGGCTCATCGAGGTGGACGTCGCGGCGGTTTCTAGCCTCCGGTCGTTTCGCTACACCGGCGGTTTCCTCTCGTCATTCTATCTCCCGGACAGCGCCTCATTTGCCGACCTCTACATCTGCTTCGACGCCCAGAGAAGCTGCAATGTCCGCATCTGCCAAAAGGTCTACTGGCTATTGGAAGAATTCTTGTCGATTTTTCTTCAGAGTTCAGAAGTTACCATGATGATTATCTTGCTCATATCACTGAACTCTGTTAACCTTTGCACTTTATCAGGTGTTCAGCCACTGGTTCGAAAGCCGTGTATGCTGGAAACTCACTGCCCTCACCATCTGCAGCAATGTCCTCTTTGTATGCACTTCTCTGCTGGACTCTGGTTTGATTTGCGATATCTGAAATCATGGACTGTTTTGTTAACCTTCAATGCCATCTTAGGTTGTGTCTTCCTTGCCCAATGGAATCTCACATGCCGAATCGGCCAAGATTGGCGGCGACTTCTTTCGAAGCATGACTGAACTACAACTGCTTATGTTAGATATGAAGGCCCCTGAGCTTGCGAACATCTATGTGTTCCTAAAGAACAGCCACTGTTGTAATCTGGAGAGGCTTTTCGTGCAGGTCTTACACCCTTTACACCTTTAACTCCAGCTTAAGTTGATTTGCTCAGTACTCATTCTGTCATCTTATTGCATTGGCATCGTTGTTGTGTTTTCATTTGATTGTAATGCCTCTGAATGGCTGTGATTTGTGCTTGCAGCTCCCTAGCATCCCCAGTGGGCCCTTGGTGGATGCATCTGACCATGTGCGGGTAGAGCCGCCCGAGGATGTTTTGGAAAACCTTAAGGTGGTAAAGATTACAAACTTCAACTGGAACCGCATTGAGCTGCAGCTAGTGTGCTTTTTGTTGAGGAAAGCTAGCTCTCTCCATAAACTTCTACTAGTTACTCCCAGTTTGGTTCCATTGGATGTGACTGGTATTCAGAAGGCAGATCTCTTACTTGTTGGAGAAGCTGTGGCAAATGGAAAAATAATTCTCAGCAAGTTGGACGATGCTGCAACCCAGCCATTTCATTCAGATGTCTTTGCCGAAGTTTAGTTGCCAGTCACAAGTCCAATTATGGCCCTATAGCTTGTTATATTGTAGCACCAGGCCTGCCTTTTGACTGCTGTGGCATGTTAAGGATCAGCATATGATATTGATGCATTAGGCTATCAATGAGGCAACCCATCATGCTGATTTGTATGCAACAAGTATTGAAGGGGATATAATGTCCTGCTAGATATATTATAATGTTATTCGTGTTTATAAAACTCAAGCCTGCCCTCGAGTCAGGGGCGGTTTCCATTTCTATGCAAAGTTCTGCAACTGCAAGTGTTAATTTTATGTCATTGCCATGAAATTTCTTATGATCTCGTTACAGATGTATTGCTAAGGGTTTGTGTGGCGTCCTGCAATTAGGCCATCTGGCTTGGTTAGACTTGAAGTCAAAATCCCTGTTTACAGTATGTTTATCTTCTTTTTCGACAAAGAGTATGTTTATCTTCTCTATGCCTTTTTGTAGGGTTAACATATGAGATTTTCAGGTTTCCAGTAACCACAGGATGAACGGAGTTTGTCTTGCGTACAGACTTCCCTGATCATTCTGATTTCATTCCCCGTGGAGGATCAATATGTACAACTGTCTGCTTTGTTTCAGCTGAAGGGACAATGTGTAAGCCTAGTAATATTTCCAAGAATTGCATAACATGTCGTATAAGATGGGAGAAAATCAAGGTACCGTGTAAACAACGAACATGATTTTCTCTCTTGCCAAGAAAGTATCAAATGCTTTCAATGTCTTGTAATGTCGATTTAGATTGTCCTTGATGCTTGCTATGTGGTTCCAAATTTATCAGCTTTGCTTCGAGTTACCGTTTCCTCACTGAACTTTATGTGCTATGTCTATTGTGACTTGTTTCCCTGGGCCATTTTATGAGAGAGTTTGTCCTTTCCAAATGGGAATGGCTGGCTTACTTTAACTTTGAATATGAATAGGTAAGCTAATGCACTCATACTAGGAGTGTCGGCCCTTCTTCGACTTTTCAAGAGCAGCTCAGCTATGAATGTTTTTTTAAGAACACTCAGCTATGAATGTTGGTACTCCCTCCGTCTGAAAAAACTTGTCCCAAACTTGTCCCTCGAATGGACGTATCTAGCAAGATACGTCCATTCGAGGACAAGCTTTTCCGGACGAAGGGAGTACAAACTGACGCAGCAAGGAAGCCTTGCATTGCTTCAGTGTGCCTGATCGGCCAAGTCTGAATTTTTATTTTGATAGAACAGTGGAGCCCTAACTGGTTTCAGATGATACACTGGAAACGAAAAGCATTTTGCATCAACTTTAGAAGCGAAATGAGTTAAAAAATAAGGGATGATAGAACAGTGGAGCCCTAACTGGTTTCAGATGATACACTGGAAACGAAAAGCATTTTGCATCAACTTCAGAAGCGAAACGAGTTCAAAAATAAGGGATGATAGAACAGTGGAGCCCTAACTGGTTTCAGATGATACATTGGAAACGAAAAGCATTTTGCATCAACTTCAGAAGCGAAACAAGTTCAAAAATAAGGGAAGATAGTACGCTTTCCGGTTTGATGCATTCCAGGGAAATCCACTGTTTATACTAGTGTACTGTAAAGTTAAATATGGGGCAAAAAAACCTGGTACGCAGCACTCGAGGCGTATTTTAACGACGTGAAGAATAGGATGTGTTGAAGAAAAGAAATCAACAGAAAGCCGCCGGCAGAAGCGAGTGGCCGAGATCCTAGCGGCTTCCTGTCAAGTCCATCGCTCAGTCCATGTTTGTATGCAGGCAAAGGCAATGGCGCTCACTGGTGGGCAGTGATAGCTTTGTTTCATTCAGCAGACATGTCAGTGAAGAGGCCGAAGGGGATCCTGATGGACAACACCGGCCGTGGACATATCCACCTTCTATATCCCGAGTGCAAAGCATTCCCCCGGAGATCTGTTACGCTGTGGTCTGCGCTCTCAGTCTCTCACAGCTTACGGTTTCAGACCTGCAGTTCATGATACAACGCTGGGGCAGTGCCTTACCTTTCTGCCACTCATCCGTACTTCTACAAATATTGAAACAATTGTGCATTAGCAACTCTGATCTAAAAATATCCAAACACCACATCACCCCAATACTTGTTCTCAGTTTTCTGATCCAAGCATAGCAGTCTACAAATCCTCTTGTATCAGGAAAACGGAATAAAACCTGTTTCTACACTGTTGTACCAAAACAACCATCTACGGTTTTAGCTGTAGAAAGCTCAACTTTGGAACGATGGGTTACAACACAAATGCAGCATGCCTATGTAACGTGCTCAGATGCGGTAAATCGGCATCTTCTTTCGAACAAAGCATTCAGATGCACACTGTCATTCATACACAAATTTAGCCGGTTGATAAAACTGAAGACCCTTAGCCTCTGATCATAATCTACATCTAATGTTTCTTTGCTGGCAAGAAAATTCTGCAGCATTAGCATAAGATCAAAGTTTTCACAGTAACTTCACACAGCTCATTCAAATGTTAATCCTATGGCCTCAATGGGACATTTTTTTTCCTGACCATTTGACTTGGCCGGCCTTCCAACACTGCCTGTGCGACACTCATTTCCTATTGACTGTGAAGTGAAAGCCCATGGGTTCTCGATATTCACCTGTTCCATGGCACCGGTGGCAGTAATCTAGGCCGCTACCCCCGCATATTTGGCACCTGACAATTGAAAGTTATGTTAGAGGGATGTGCCAGTGTTCAGTACCTCAGTATGCTAGACGTATATGAGTAGGGGTGTCCTCACCATTGCGGCCATTCTCCCTTGGGGAGCACGGCGAGATCGACATGATTTATTCTTCCTGCACATTTCAGGCCCGATTTTCATGAGAACTGATAGTACAGATCAACATACTAGCAAGAGAAAATAGCTTGGGAGTAAAATAGACACCTCTACCGAAACAGTTGCGGCAATTTATTGTCCCAGTGCCTTTGCAGATGGTGCATGGAGGATCAGGTCGTTTTGGTCTTTCTCTCCTAACATTAGACTGCATCATGGTCACAACTAAGAAAACAGAGGACTGACCAATTAATAAGTGAAAGAATGACACACAATGTTCAATTATTTGCACCATCTAATGTATATCTGGCCTGACATGGTGTCCTATCTGGCTATTTCTCATTTCTCCTGCAAGGTGAAAACCTCCTATACCCTGAACTTGGTGGAGGATCACAAGGGAAGCGGCAAGATAATACATCGTCGTATTGATACTTTGTTTAATTTATTTATCCAGTATAAAACTCGACCATGAGTATGTTTTGTCTTCTGTGGTTCTGTCACAAGAATCACCGTGCCAACAATCCAAGCTATCAAGACCCTCTTTGGGACTAACTGTTCTGTGGACTTTGAGTATGTTGCTAAGTGGTGGGTTAGTAACAAGAACATCAGGCAATCAACCTTGTTCATCCTGCAACCTTATGGGCTCTCAGGAAACATAGAAATGAACTCTGCTTTAACAGATGTTCATGGCTTGGTGTGCAGATAGTTCTGAAGGGCATAGCTGTAGCATGCTCTCAGTGGGCAATTCTATGCTCCGATCATGCAAAAGAGTGCATTCTGGAGATCACAAGTTCTTTATGGGTGCTGGCCAGGAGCCCACCTCCACTGACGTGGCCAAATCCAGGCTAACTGGGCAGTGGGTGGTGGCTGAAGCTGTCGTCGCTATCTGGTCTGCCGGCCTGAGGCTGCTGCTGCTTGGGAAGCCAACATTGCTGGGTTAGCGAAGTGTGCACAGGAATCCTCCCGCAGTCTGCTTGAAGACAGCGTCTGGCTCAAGAGTCCACTGGGACCTTGAAGGCACTGGCTTGTGTTCTGATTTCGTACTTGTGCTGTGTGTCGTGCAATGGTCATATTTTCCGAACCCATAAAGAATGTAGCCTGTTCCCTTCCCTGAACTTTGGGCATTGCTTGTTTTCCTTGCTGTAATTTCTAGTAGAGTACTTAGTTTCCACTGGATTTGGCATGTCAGCCTACTCCCGAGTGCGTTCATGTAAACTATTTGGTTTCAGCTCAATGAAATGGGCCTTTTCCTCTGAAAAATCAATCCAAGGTTTACATGTAACTCTGGTTATTCTGTCTGCAAACAAGCATTTGATGCATAACTGAAGTTGTCTACCGCAATATTTGCACATGAACTGGCCACTCCTACCGGATTGCATGACTTACTCATTCTGCAATGCTGCTTACCCCCACCCACTCAGCCACTCGGGCAACTTGTGCAACATCCATTCTCCATGCTTCTCAGCCTTACCATTACCATAATATCCCAAAAACTACCTGGAAGTACAAGCAGTTCCACTTCCACCTCACTGTTCTAAAAGGCCGCGAGAACAAAAATACAAGCTCTGCCTAATTTTCTGTTTATTTCACCTTTCATTTTGGATTCCTGCTATTTTTTCCCCACCCTTTCTTGTTTCTTCTGCACCGCTCTTCAACGGGACGCTGCCAGACCACACTACATAGATGAACAATTCACAGACGCCTTGCAGCCAAAGCAGTCCCGTGAAGAGAATACGAGCTACTGTTGCTAAAGGTCTAAACTATGTGCTTCCAGCCTATCAATTGTTCGACGAATTGCGGACACGGGAACAGAGCAGAAGGAATGGGACAAAGGGGGAAAAGTTCAGCTCACCTCGGTGCGGACGACCCATGCCGGCCTCCGAACGCCCAGCCGGCTAGGGGGGCCTTCAAATCCGGGGAGTGAGCTCGTCGGAGGTTGCGCCGGCAGCCCAGCGCACCCGGGGCTGGCCGCCGGCGTCGCAGGCATCGGTGGCTACCGCCTAGCCGCTTACTACACCACGGATTTCCAGAAGCCTCTCAAACATTTTCAGGGTTGCGTTATCCACTGATAATTGGGCCACTTTGAGCTCTCACTAGTTGGACGTCGGATCTTTGGGCTTTACATGTTCTTCACAATGAACTTTCGAGCCAACCGTTTTGGGTTGGTTTAACATTTTGTTTTTGTTTTTGAGAACTAGTAGTAGTTATGTAAGTGCAACACACGATCCAAAATTTAAAAAATTCTGATTTTTTAAAATTAATCTATGTTTTGCATCTTCGGATTTACTTAATCAGTCTTGCAAGCGGTGAATATCAATATCTCTGGCGGTGGCGGCGAGATGTCAGCAGCGGCATGGTTCGCGTCTAACATGGTCGTGGTCTAGGGATCATGTTGACTGGTTTGGAAATATTCCAAATTATGATTTGTTTTTTAGAGCAACTCTAGCAGACCCCGCATCCGTCCCCGACCCGCAAAATAACCGCCAAAATGTGGGTAGGGGCGGAAAAACCTGCCCGTTCAGACCTCGCATCCTGCCCCGACCCGTAAAAAATTTTGAGGGGCGCGGCAAAATCCCGACCCCAACCCGGGAATACGCGGGTTTCCCCCTCGCGGCTGTGGTGCCCTGCATTACACAGAAGTAATTGGCGGGAGGGACATTTCAGCCTGCGCGTTTTCCCCCTCCTTCCGCCGCCGACCGCCCTTGCTTCCGCCCGCCCGCCGCCGGGGATTTGGCCAAATCTGCGGGCGGAATCGGTCCGCGGGGCCGCCTGATACGTCTCCGTCGTATCTACTTTTTCAAACACTTTTGCCCTTGTTTTGGACTCTAACTTGCATGATTTGAATGGAGCTAACCCGGACTGACGTTGTTTTCAGCAGAATTGCTATGGTGTTATTTATGTGCAGAAAAAAACGTTCTCGGAATGACCTGAAACTTTCCGGAGCAACTTTTCAGAAATAATAAAAAATCCTCGCAAAAGATGAAGGTCAGGGGGCCCACCACCTGTCCACAAGGGTGGGGGCGCGCCCCCCTACCTCGTGGGCCCCCTGGAGCTCCTCCGACCTCAACTCCAACTCTATATATTTGGTTTCGGGAAGAAAAAAATCAAAGAGAAGGATTCATCGCGTTTTACGATACGGAGCCGCCGCCAAGCCCTAAAACCTCTCGGGATGGCTGATCTGGAGTCCGTTCGGGGCTCCGGAGAGGGGAATTCGTCGCCATCGTCATCATCAACCATCCTCCATCACCAATTTCATGATGCTCAGCGCCGTGCGTGAGTAATTCCATTGTAGGATTGCTGGACGGTGATGGGTTGGATGAGATTTATCATGTAATCGAGTTAGTTTTGTTAGGGTTTGATCCCTAGTATCCACTATGTTCTGAGATTGATGTTGCTATGACTTTTCTATGCTTAATGCTGAAGGAAATATACCCTAGAGGCAATAATAAAGTTATTATTTATTTCCTTATTTCATGATAAATGTTTATTATTCATGCTACAATTGTATTAACCGGAAACATAATACATGTGTGAATACATAGACAAACAGAGTGTCACTAGTATGCCTCTACTTGACTAGCTCGTTAATCAAAGATGGTTATGTTCCCTAACCATAAACAAAGAGTTGTTATTTTATTAACGGGATCACATCATGAGGAGAATGATGTGATTGACATGACCCATTCCATTAGCTTAGCACCCGATCGTTTAGTATGTTGCTATTGCTTTCTTCATAATTTATACATGTTCCTATGACTATGAGATTATGCAACTCCCGTTTGCCGGAGGAACACTTTGTGTGCTACCAAACGTCACAACGTAACTGGGTGATTATAAAGGAGCTCTACAGGTGTCTCCAAAGGTAAATGTTGGGTTGGCGTATTTCGAGATTAGGATTTGTCACTCCGATTGTCGGAGAGGTATCTCTGGGCCCTCTCGGTAATACACATCACCTAAGCTTGCAAGCAATGCAACTAATGAGTTAGTTGCGAGATGATGTATTACGGAACGAGTAAAGAGACTTGCCGGTAACGAGATTGAACTAGGTATTGAGATACCGACGATCGAATCTCGGGCAAGTAACATACCGATGACAAAGGGAACAACGTATGTTGTTATGCGGTCTGACCAATAAAAGATCTTCGTAGAATATGTAGGAGCCAATATGAGCATCCAGGTTCCGCTATTGTTTATTGACCGGAGACGTGTCTCGGTCATGTCTACATTGTTCTCGAACCCGTAGGGTCCGCACGCTTAAGGTTTCGATGACAGTTATATTATGAGTTTATTGGTTTTGACGTACCAAAGTTAGTTCGGAGTCCCGGATGTGATCACGGACATGACGAGGAGTCTCGAAATGGTCGAGACATAAAGATTGATATATTGGACGACTATATTCGGACACCGGAAGTGTTCCGGGTGATTTCGGAGAAAACCGGAGTACTGGAGGGTTACCGGACCCCCCCCGGGAGAAGTAATGGGCCATATGGGCCTTAGTGGAGAGAGAGAAGGGTAGCCAGGGTGGGCCGCGCGCCTCCTCCCCCCTGGTCCGAATTGGACTAGGAGAGGGGGGACTCCTTGGCGTGCCATAGGGCCGGCCGGCCTCCTCCCCTTGCTCCTTTATATACGGGGGTAGGGGGAACCCCTAGACACACAAGTTGATCCATGTGATTGTTTTCTTAGCCGTGTGCGGTGCCCCCTTCCACCATAATCCTCGATAATATTGTAGCGGTGCTTAGGCGAAGCCCTGCGACGGTAGAACATCAAGATCGTCACCACGCCGTCGTGCTGACGGAACTCTTCCCCGACACTTTGCTGGATCGGAGTCCGGGGATCGTCATCGAGCTGAACGTGTGCTAAAACTCGGAGGTGCCGTAGTTTCGGTGCTTGATCGGTCGGGCCGTGAAGACGTACGACTACATCAACCGCGTTGATATAACGCTTCCGCTTTCGGTCTACGAGGGTACGTAGACAACACTCTCCCCTCTCGTTGCTATGCATCACCATGATCTTGCGTGTGCGTAGGAAATTTTTTGAAATTACTACGTTCCCCAACAGTGGCATCCGAGCCTAGGTTTTATGTGTTGATGTTATATGCACGAGTAGAACACAAGTGAGTTGTGGGCGATATAAGTCATACTGCTTATCAGCATGTCATACTTTGCCCGGACCGACATTACGCGTACGCTTACGCGAGACTGGTTCTACCGACGTGCTTTGCACACAGGTGGCTGGTGGGTGTCAGTTTCTCCAACTTTAGTTGAACCGAGTGTGGCTACGCCCGGTCCTTGCGAAGGTTAAAACAACACCAACTTGACAAACTATTGTTGTGGTTTTTGATGCGTAGGTAAGATTAGTTCTTGCTTAAGCCCGTAGCAGCCACGTAAAACTTGCAACAACAAAGTAGAGGACGTCTAACTTGTTTTTGCAGGGCATGTTGTGATGTGATATGGTCAAGACATGATGCTAAATTTTATTGTATGAGATGATCATGTTTTGTAACCAAGTTATCGGCAACTGGCAGGAGCCATATGGTTGTCGCTTTATTGTATGCAATGCAATTGTGCGCTGTAATGCTTTACTTTATCACTAAGCGGTAGCGATAGTCCTGGAAGCATAAGATTGGCAAGACGACAATGATGCTACGATGGAGATCAAGGTGTCGCGCCGGTGACGATGGTGATCATGACGATGCTTCGGAGATGGAGATCACAAGCACAAGATGATGATGGCCATATCATATCACTTATATTGATTGCATGTGATGTTTATCTTTTAGGCATCTTATCTTGCTTTGATTGACGGTAGCATTATAAGATGATCTCTCACTAAATTTCAAGATAAAAGTGTTCTCCCTGAGTATGCACCGTTGCCAAAGTTCGTCGTGCCCAGACACCACGTGATGATCGGGTGTGATAAGCTCTACGTCCATCTATAACGGGTGCAAGCCAGTTTTGCACACGCAGAATACTCAGGTTAAACTTGACGAGCCTAGCATATGCAGATATGGCCTCGGAACACTAAGACCAAAAGGTCGAGCGTGAATCATATAGTAGATATGATCAACATAATGATGTTCACCATTGAAAGCTATTCCATTTCACGTGATGATCGGTTATGGTTTAGTTGATTTGGATCACGTGATCACTTAGAAGATTAGAGGGATGTCTATCTAAGTGGGAGTTCTTAAGTAATATGATTAATTGAACTTAAATTTATCATGAACTTAGTCTTGGTAGTATTTTGCAAATCATGTTGTAGATCAATAGCTCGTGTTATTGCTTCCCTGTGTTTATTTTGAAAGATGTCAGTAGCAATGATGCGGATTGGATCCATGATCTGAGGTTTATCCTCATTGCTGCACAAAAGAATTATGTCCTTGATGCACCGCTAGGTGACAGACCTATTGCAGGAGCAGATGCAGACGTTATGAACGTTTGGCTAGCTCAATATGATGACTACTTGATAGTTTAGTGCACCATGCTTAACGGCTTAGAATCGGGACTTCAAAGACGTTTTGAACGTCATGGACCATATGGATGTTCCAGGAGTTGAAGTTAATATTTCAAGCAAATACCCGAGATGAGATATATAAAGTTTTCAACAAGTTCTATAGCTAAAAGATGGAGGAGAATCGCTCAACTAGTGAGCATGTGCTCAGATTGTCTGGGTACTACAATCGCTTGAATCAAGTGGGAGTTAATCTTCCAGATAAGATAGTGATTGACAGAATTCTCTAGTCACTATCACCAAGTTAGTAGAACTACATGATGAACTATAGTATGCAAGGGATGACGAAAACGACTCCCGAGCTTTTCATGATGATGAAATCGATGAAGGTAGAAATCAAGAAAGAGCATCAAGTGTTGATGGTTGACAAGACCAATAGTTTCAAGAAAAGGGCAAAGGGAAGAAGGGGAACTTCAAGAAGAACGGCAAGCAAGTTGCTGCTCAAGTGAAGAAGCCCAAGTCTGGTCCTCAGCCTGA